GGGGGGGGGAGGGAGTGCACGAACAACTGGATCTTGGCTTTGCCGCGATTTAAGAAGAACAAAAAGTGAAGAATGTTGGATAAACGGGGAAGAATCGCGGCGGATAGCGAGCTATGGCGAGAGAGTTGCGATCGGTGTCGATCGGAGGTTAGACGAAGCAGCTAGACCTTCTAGTTGCTAGCTAGCTACAGCGCGTGTATCCTTCTTGATCGTGCGATCGGTGCTCCAGAGAGGATCTGGCAACAACGGCTGAAGGAGGAGTGATCTTGCAGGAACATTGGCCACGGCGAGAACGAGAAGAAAGGAGGGAATCGGCATTGGTGGAAAGAAGTCGGCGATCTCACCTGAGGAGAGAACGAGAGGAGAAGGGCCGAGGAAGGTGGCGGTACCGAAGCAGGCCTGCTTGGTCCAGCGCTCGTAAAACTCGTCTCTCGCACAGGAGAAATAGCTCGCGTTCAACGTTGAAACTTCCGGCCGAGCACGGTGCGTCGCGTTTTCTCTCGGCTTTCGTCGCGTTTTTCTTCCTTTCCTTCCCGCCATCATTTTTTTCATCAATGCGCGATACTCGCGGGATTGCGGGGTAGAATAACGGGAACCTGGTAGAAAAAAGAAAAAGAAAAAAAAGAAGAGAAGAGAGAAACGACAGAAAGACAAGCGGGAGGGAAGTTTTTGACGAACAATGTTTCGCCCCGTGGGAGTGTGAGGTGCTGTGGATCCGCTGAAAATGCAGTGTTTCACGTGCGAACAGAATACTCGTCCACGTGTGCCACGAAAACAACGATTCTGCTCGTCGCGGCTCGCTTAGACTCGTCTTTCGAACGTTCCACGGTACGAACGTTCGCTCGCCGAGACCGACGAGAAGGTGAGAGCAACACGAACAAGCTATTCCGCGTTCTTCAGGTGAGCTTTCCCGTATTTCCCGATATCGCGATATCGCAATTCATCTTCCTCGAAAACGGCGAGTCTCTCTCGATCGCATTTGACAACTGACAAACGACTTTGTATAACGACCGTTTAATTCCATGTCATTCACGCTGATAAATGTGTGTTTATTTATGTATGAAAACAACAATACGAATTCGAACAGCTAAATTCAAAACGAACACGCATAGTTTGTGCGCGAATAGAGACGCAATGGCAGGATTTCAAGAGTTCAGTGATGTACGTAAATAACATCCATACAAAATCGAATTACAATCTGTTTATCACAGCAATTTAAAAGACAAATTTTTGATTAACTTTAATATTAATGAAAACTTGAAACTCGTTCGTATAGACGTAATATATTCCCTATATGTCACCTTTGTGAATTGCTGTATATTTTATAGAGTGAGGGACGTAACGTTCGTTTCGGATTACCTAATCGCAAGTAGAATAGCAGCGTTAACTTATAATTAATAACAGCGCGTGTACGCCTCGAACCCGGGATTTACCGCACCGTTAATAAATTTTCTAGCGCGCAATCTATGCAACCGAACCGATAAACAGAACCGGGGATCGTCGAATGACTTTTTAATCGAACGAGAGGCGACGTCGGAATGCGGAATGATGGGAGGCGTAGCGAGGAAAGGGCAAATGACCGGGAATCACGCGGAGACCTCGAGCTGCGGTGCGATCGACGTTCGTCACGCGCTCGAAAACTACAAAACCCGAACTAATTAAAAGGGAATCAGCCAGCCGCCGTGACACAAAATCCTCCGTGTCGATCGACCGGCCGTGGCTGAACGACACGGACAAAGAGAGAAGGAAAAAAGACAGGGCTAGGGTGACGCTGCGTCGCGACGCGGCGCAAATCAAATATTAATCGCGCAATTAGCGCCA